GAAGGGAATAGGGAGATGGGCAGGGAGGATGGGGATAATTGGGTGGGCAACACGGGATACAAATGCAATTTGTGGTAATGGGCAAGCTGCCAGTATGAATCTGGCTTTCACACCTTGGACATGAGGGGTGACAACCGGCTCTGTAACTCATGAATATTCATAACCAATAAAAAATAAATAAAAAAGTATCACTTGGAATACTAAAAACAGCAACAAAAAGTTTTTGTTTAGTAAGTCCTATATTTGTGCTTCACCAAGAAGAGTTTCTGTTAATTTCTCCTGTGATGGACCATACATATTACTAAATAATAAAAATATTACATATTATATATTATAGTAATAACAGTAATACATAATAGAATGATTATTACATAATAATAGTATTATGTACTAGAATGTAAATTCCCCCCAACCCCCAAAAAGACAGAGATTTTGTTCCTAACACCAAGAGAAGAGTGCTTGTTAAATAGAATCAATAAAGGTGAAATTGCTAAGCCAAAGGTGCACACATTTTTATCAAAAAGACATTGCTTGAAAGAGAAAGTTCACATCAATGGACACTCTCGCAAACTATTATGAGAATACCCTTTTTCCCTACCCCCTCACCAAAAATCTTTTTGGTATTTGCTGACAGCATGATATAGCATTTTGTTTGAGTTTGCATAAATTTAATTACCAGTTACAGAGATATAGTATGTATTTTTGTCATTTGCATTGTCTTTTCAAACTGAGTTTGAATGGCTGTGCTTACATTACAATAATTTATAATATTCTTTATATTTAATAGGTACCAGTGCCTGGCCATACATCAAGCACAAATATTTTTCCCACTTTGCCTTTACTTTTGTTTTTGACAAATTTAAATTTAGTGTGGTAAAATCTAGTCTTTTGTTTTTTCATGTGTTCTGCTTTTGCTTCCTTGCTTAAAGTTCATACTTTATTCCACAGTTATATAAATTTCACCTACATTTTTACAAGTTATTTTAGGGTGTATTTAAAAATATTTTGATCCAATTAATTTATTCTGAAATACAGTTTTTTGACTGTATAAAAAATCCAATCTTTTTTTATTTTTTCAAAAGCTTAATTACTTCTTCGCAATATATGGATTTATTGACCTCTTGTTTTGAGAATACACCTTTATTATAGAACAAAACCTAGATCTCTTTCTGAGCTTTCTCTGCTATTCTATCATTGTTTCTATATTGTGAATTATTTAAGGACCCGTTGATTAGTGCATTCAACAGCACCAACTTCTTACCTCATCTCCTTCCCAATTGCTAATTGATTAGTATCTGGATCTGATATGTCATTTATTTCCTCCATTCCATACCATATGGGTTAATTTTTCTATTTTATGTATTTAAGAAAAGCAAAAATAGAAAGCAACCTAGCACTTTACTGGAAATTGTCAAATGACTTTATGATATTTATTCTCACAATTAGTTCTTCTGTGTGGGTCAGTTTTAAAATTTCTACACAACTGTGGATTGTCACTTAAAATGAATGCTGGTTAGTTACACATGTGTCAACTTAGGATGTGATGTAATTGCTCCATTAACCAGAAGAAAGTAGGAAGAAAGACATGTGTACTGCTTGCTCGCGCTTCTTGTTTTATTGTTCTCCAAGAATAGTGTTAAATAGCAGCATTGATAACCTGGCTCAGCCACTCTTTTGCTTGCACAATGGGCCCATGAATGAAATAGTATGAAATATAAAGTATAAATGAAGTAGTATAAAGTATGAAAGGCAATTATAAAGTCTTTGCTTTATTTATTCAGCATGCTCTCTTCTCATTAAGGCAGTCTAGCTACAGCAACTGTTAAATGTTTGACCTTTCAGCATCATATGTAGGTGCTCAACCCTTGACATGATTTCATCTGTTGAGGCATCCACTCGGCAACTTGATGGCAGGTTGTTTACATTGGATCCTGCCAGTGCTAGAAGAGCAACTGTTTGTTCTTACTGGAATAAATGTGTGCTCCAGCTATGGTTTTCACTCTCGTGCCATCAATGCTCTGGCCATTAAACTATCCAAAGATACACAGAATGCCTAATATCCTTCATAACATACCCTAGGACAGAGGAATATACTTTACATACAGCAAAGAAAGTACAACAATGAGCACCCAACCAAGTGATCCACTGGTGCTGCAATATTCTGTATCAAGCAAAAGCCATGAGTCTGATAGAACATGAAAAGAGACTTTTAAAGCTACAGGCAAAGGTGCAACTAATGTGCCAGCTTGGGGATGGCACTCTGCAGAGTTGGGTTTCTGTGCTTTAACATGTGATATATACTTTGAACCATGGAACATTATAAGGTATTGGGCCCCAGAATACACAGATCTGGAACAAAGGTGGACAGTGAGAGTGGCTCCTCTTACTGTCACTCCCTTGGGGAATTTGAGCTTCCTGTTCCCACAACTTTAAGCTCTGCTAGAGTGAGGAGAATGCTTCTTCTGGAGGAACAGCAAGCATTCCAATAAACCCGAAGTTTTAGTAGCTCTCTAGTCACTTTGGTTTCCTTGTGTTTGTAGGTCAGCTGACAAAGAAAGAAGTTACTATAATGGCAGGTATAATTGACCTTCCTTATCGTGAGGAGATAGAATCGCTGCTACGCTTGCATTAACCATGGCTGATGATAACTGTAAATAGGCAATTGCAGCACTTACAGCCTGACAGANAAGAAAGAAGTTACTATAATGGCAGGTATAATTGACCTTCCTTATCGTGAGGAGATAGAATCACTGCTACGCTTGCATTAACCATGGTTGATGATAACTGTAAATAGGCAATTGCAGCACTTACAGCCTGACAGAAGCATGGTAATTACAGACTCAGACTGTTCAGGTAAGAAGATGTGGACCTTAGCAAGTGACCTAGACCATCAGAAGTGTCGGACAGCTGCTACGCTTGCATTAACCATGGCTGATGATAACTGTAAATAGGCAATTGCAGCACTTACAGCCTGACAGAACTGTTCAGGTAAGAAGATGTGGACCTTAGCAAGTGACCTAGACCATCAGAAGTGTCGGACACACATGGGGGGAATTTAGAATGGGTTGTAGAGAAGGAAGATGATGGATGTTGTCCTGGGAACAAGTGTAATGACAGGACTCATTAACACTTGTTCCATTAACACTCCTTTATTTAAAGAGTCAGTGATGGAGTGAACTCAGATGGAGCATAAATGCCTCTAAGAATGGGAAAATACAGACGGTATCTGATGCTGTTGATACCTCACACATATCCGAGACCTCTACCTGAAGACTTCTCTTTGGATATCAAAAGTGCTTAACCCACCATTTGGGGAAACTTGGAACTACTATAGAGTTAATGCCCACAGCAGCTCTAGACTGGTAAAGAAATATGCAACTTCCTTACCTCTCAAGTGAGATGACTAGAAGTCATAGAATGTATACAGTCTCTTAGGATTGTGCCCCAATTGTGCACAGCAGTAAGATAGAAATTAATACACCTTCGATTGGCAGCCTTCCCTTCCCTAGCTCACTTCCACACTTTCAAACCAGTGTCTTATAGAATTCCTTTTCAAATGAACTGCTATTCAGATTTTCTCTCTGGGTATACTTTTAAATAATAAGTAAAGCTACTGGATCTACATATATGACAATTCAATGTGAAAATTTATGACAGTCACCACAACACATTTTTAGGTTATTTTAGACCTTATAAATAGCAGGAAAAAATGTTATTATATCATTTTATTCATAAAATAACCAAAATTTGAAGATTAAAGTGTTCTTTGGTAGATCATGCTGTTCTCTGTAAGATTATTAACTCCTGGCTTGATAGATTTATATTTCCATGATGGTGATGGTAATGGTCTCACAATCCACAGATGAAGTTGTGGCAGGTTTAGGATAGTGGATGATGAGATTGTTCTGGATTTGTTAAATTTGTGGTGTCTAAGTGGAGATGAGCCAATGTGCAGCTGGATGTATTAGGTTCAAAGCTCTAAAGAGATGTGATCAACAAAAACTGGAATAAGGTCACTTTTTGTGCAATCTTTTTATTGCTACCCTTATGTCTTTGTTCCTTAATGTATAGATGACAGGATTCAAGACAGGGGTAATAGCAAAGTCAACAATGAACAGATTTTTATCAAGTGATGGTGGGGGAGAAGGCCATACATAGATAACTATGCATGGAGTGAAGAACAAAAAAACCACAGTGATGTGAGCTGATAAAGTGACAAATGCCTTGGATAAGTCTCCTGTAGAACATTTCCAGACAGTGATCAAAATGAAGGCATAGGAAAGAATTAGCAGAATGAAAGTGCCCATGGTCATAAAGCCACTGTTGGCAGTAACAATAAACTCATACTTGGCTCTATCTGTGCATGCAAGTTTGATGATCTTGGGAAAGTCACAATAAAAGCTATCTACTTTATTAGGCCCACAGAAAGGTAAGTTTATAACAAAAGCAAATTGAGCCATAGCATGGATCACCCCAGTTACCCAGCCAGTAATTACAAATGAAACACATATTTTAGGGTTCATGATTTTAAAGTAATGAAGAGGCTTACAGATTGCCATACACCTGTCAAATGCCATGGCTATGAGTAGCACCATTTCTATTCCTCCCATGATATGGATAAGACATATCTGTGTCATACAATTTTGGAAAGAAATTACATTGTATTCATTTAAAAGATCTGTGATTATCTTGGGGATCACGGTAGAGGAAAGGCCCACGTCAATGAGGGATAGGTTGGCCAGCAGGAAGTACATAGGTGACTGTAAGTGAGAATCAGCAATTACCAAAAACACAATGACAAGGTTTCCCATGATGATCCCTAAATAGAGCAAGGAACATGTAACGATGAGAACAAATTTTTTCTCTCTAGAACAAGAAAGGGCCAGTAAAACAAGCTCAGTGACCACAGAGTCATTTAGTCCACCCATTGACTGGGACAGAAGAGTTGATTTTCAAGTGACCTGAGGATAAAAATTAAAAAGAATAAGTATCATTGAATCAAAGGTAGATTACCCATTTGCCTTGCTAACTGAGTTTGACAATATTGGAAGTAGAAAAATCAAGAATATAGAAAAACAAGATTAGTAACAAATTTATTATATAAAGGGATACTTGAGGAAGAAAATGACTAAATTTTTCAGATAGACTCAAAAAGGCTCTAATTTTCATTTAAAAGAGGTACTTTAGTTTTCATCCTATAGTTAAATTCTTTTTTCTTTCTCTAAAAGATTTCTCCATTATTTTTACTGCCACTTTCCTAGATGTTCTCTCACCAAATTAATGCCATCTTTTCTGTCACACCACTACTACTAAGTGTATATACTCTTATCTACATTCATTTTAGCCCATTAATATTCTCTTACTTCACTAGACTTATAGAGCTCACCCGGTCAAACGTGCTTGAGCACATCCCATCACTCCTTGCTTTGAGCTCTTAAAGTCTAAATAGAATTCAGATGTACAAGGCTTAAAAGATATAATATTGCTTCATAACATAATATCATCTCTGGCCCATGGCCATATTTATTGAATCGATTAATTGATATCCAATTAAAAATAAATTGTTGAATATCTGAGAGTAAAGAATAGTAAATATAGACATGATAATCAAAGATATTAATTCATCAGTGATAATAATTAATTAATCAGTGATAATAATCACAGATAACATTTATCTTGTGCGTCTTACATTCAGGGCATTGAATTAAGCACATTATCTCTTTTAATTTCTATAGGATAGGTTTGGTTTTATTTTCTCTATTTTGCAATTTAAAAAACTGAGCCTCAGAAAAATGAAATGGCAGATCCAGGACTTGTATCCAGAGCTGTAGGACTTCAGAATGCATGCTTCTAACCACGGCACTCTGCTCTTCAAGACCAGCACCTCCAAATATATTCTAGATCTCCCTGAGGATCTTGATACATCAATTAACCTTTCTCCTTCATCTTCAACTTTTCACTTATCTTGATTTACTGCACAGAGAATCTCTCCTTTCAAAAATCAAATCTATCAAGGGTTGAGGTAGGGATTTCTTCTGATATTCCCTTTCTCTCTCAAACCCTTAACAGGAAAGATTATCTCAACTTTATACATTCACTTATTGAACAAGCCAAAATAAGCTAGCTTCCACTGCAGAAAATCATCTTAGAGAAGTTATCAAGGATACAGCACACAGTTGTCCACATATGAAAATATCACATGCAGTAACCACTTTTCAGTCATTATTTTCCTTAACTGCTTATTCTCCAAATTTGATACTATTGATCATGTCTTTGTTTTTGATATTTCTTCTGCCACTGGCTACCATATATGCTGCCTATCTGAAAGCCTTTTCCATCCCTATTTCCTACTAAAAGAACACCTATCTGCTTAGGTACTTGATAGAGATGTCTTAATTTGGGGGGGCAATAGTCGCCTAACCCAGCCTCAGGATGAAACATGATAATAGAGTTTCACTTGGCCATGCATTGGCTTAAGAAGGGTATGTAATCTAGATACGATTAATGGGTCATAGAATAATGTCTTCTGTGAAAGGCTTTCTTTCCTAGATTAACATACAAAACTTCATTGGAGAAGGCTCTTTTATTGGCCCCTTTATTCTTTCATTAAGTATTAGTGTGATGTCTAAAGGTGCAGCAACGATGACCTCTGAAAGCCTTTACATTAAAGATGATAATGTGAAAAGATAATATAAGAACACTGGGTTTCAAAGGTCTTTAACTGATGCCAGCAAAAGTCTACCTTCTGAAATCTGTAATTTGGGAAAAACAAACCCAGTTTGTACAGGAGACTGTAAATAAGACATTGCTACTTGCAGCTGCATTGCTAATAGTTATATAAGAGCACTCTCAGTTTTTCTCCTACGTTTCTGAATTCTTTGTCTTTTACTAATACATGGGTTGTTTTTCTTCTACTTACACTTGATTGTTGATGTGACTCAGAAATCTATTCTAAATCTTTCTTTTTTATTCCAAACATGCTTAACTGTTTTAACTACTTCCCACTTACTGAGGATTTTTATATCCATGTATCTCGTCCTGGACTCCAGCTTAATAGATCCAAAACTGTATTGGAGTACGTAAATGGACATCCCACAAATAGCTCAAAGTTAGCATGTCCAAGGCTTATCTTATTATTTTATTATCTATTTACTTTCCTTAAGAAATACCATGGCTATTCTCCCAGATGCCCAATCCAGGAATCTGTGTGGCACCCTGTGTCTTCTTCACTTTATATCCCAGATGGACAAATTATAGCTCCTAAATATTTCTCAGATTTGGTTTCTCCTGTTTATTTCCATTGTCAGTTCTTACTTTGTGTCTATGTATTTTTTCTCGTGTTGATGACTGAAAAGCCTTCTGAATGATCTCTGTTTCCAGTCTTACCTAATTTCAGTCTATTCTATACTCTGTTTCCAGATCTGTCTATATAAACATCAAATATAATCATGTTACTCTCTTATTCCAACTTTTGGTTTTATCAGAAAGAATATATGAAATTCAATAGCATAACATAAATCCTTTCACGAACTGGCTACTACTCCCTACATTTCCCCCTGTCTTTCTGCCTCTGCATATGCTCTTGCCTGTGTTATTCCTGATCATTACAAAGTGGAACCCACGGCTTTAAGGCCAACGGACTTTGGCTGCCATCCCATCAGCCTCTTCAGAGCTATTTAAATGTGGGAAGGCAGCTAAATGATGCTGATGGTGTTTATTTGTCCATAAAATGGGAGAAATATAACTTTCTTCTTCTGAAGTCGTATTCGAGATGATATAGGCAAAGCCGTCTAGTACCAATGTTACTTCCCTTTTCCTCTAATCCTTCAAGACATAGATTGACTATCACCTCATCTAAAATATTCATTGAAGATCCCATGCAGAGTAAATAAATTCTCTCTATGAACTATTGTTACATCTTGTACATTTTTTAGAAACTTGACATGAACAATACGGGTTTAAAACATGGGTCAACTTATATGTAGATTTTTAAAAATAATTGTACCTAAAGTACTCTTAATGTATTTTCTCTTCCTTACAATTTCCTTAATAACATTTCCTTTTCTCCAGCTCACTTTACTGTAAGAATATAGTATATAATGCATATAACATGCAAAATATGTGTTAATCAGCTGTTCATGTTATCAGTGAGACTTCCAGTTAACAACAGGCTATTAGTAGTTGAGTTTTTGGGGAGTTGAAAGTTATATGCAGATTTTCAACTGTGTGAGTGAGGGGGAAGGGTACCCCTAACCCTCACATTGTTTAAGGTCATACAATTGAAGTGTACTGTAATTAAAGTGTACCGTAATTTTTTCATGTTACTTTCATAATTTCAACTATGATCTCTTTGAGAAAAGGAACTTTTAGTGAACTTTGTATACCACAATGCTTACAATTTCTAGCACAATTTCTAGCACAATGTAGGCACTAATACATAGTCTTCACTAACATTCATAGTAAAAGTTCAAGAAGACATGTTATCAAAATCAGGGTCATAGGAGCCCCTGTGGGGTTTTGAAAATTGAACTTACTGATACCTGCACACTGATAAGGGAATGGAAACCTATCTGGAAGTCTGTGAGTCCCCTGTTTCATAACTGTTCTCTCAGAGTGACTTCAGCACCCCACATACCCAACTAGATACTAAATCTAATGAAATAAAACTAGAAAGGGATTTTTCCCCTCAAACAACATATGCAGAGAGGCATTACAGTGCAGTACTAACATAAAGCATTTTATATAAATACTGTAGAATAGGAAAACATCGCCAGGTATTTGGAAAGATTAAGTAATTCAAAAGAATGTCATAGTTTTAATAATAAGAGCTCCTAAGAAAAGCAATTTGCTAAATGAATAAGGAAGAGGACTTTTAAATATATTTACAATTATGACGTAAGATATTTTTGATAAAAATTAAGAAATAAGTAAAAACTTTAGGTAAACTAACATGAAAAAATATATACAATATTTCATTAAGTTGAAAAAGATTATAAAACTATGAATAGGAAAAATATATATATATTATTTATATATATATTAATAATACTTAATATATATATTAAAATATGTAGACTTTATAACACACTGTCTCTAGGTTGTGGGATTTTTAGATAATTTTACATTTTCTCCTAAATATTTACTCTTACTTTCTATGTTATTTCTTAATATTTCAAATGTTAAGTAATGTTTGTGGATTTTCTAATTTTTAAAGAAATTTCTAAATTAATGGAGGAAATTTAAAAATGAGTAATTTCATAAATAGCAGTATAATGTAGTGGCTAAGAGCACAGATTCTGAGGCTAGACTACCTGGGTTTGAATATCCATCTTCTTGATTTCTGAGCTATGTGTCCTTGGGTGAGTTGCTTCAGTTTTCTGTCCCTCAATTTCCTCATCTGTAAAATAGAGATAATAATAGTACTTACCTCATCACGTTGTTGTGAGGATTAAATGAGTTAATACATGGAACACATCAGAGCATGGCTTGAGTACATAATAAGTACTCAATAAATATATTTTTAAAAATAATTATAATGATTTTTAAGACTCATTTAATTCTCTCCAAACATAGAGATAACTTAGTCTGCCAGATTGTGCTCAATTGAAATGAAATATCCAAAACTTTTTATTCCTGTGAGTCTAGTTTCAGAGAGACAAAGAATTGAAAAATAAGACACTTCACATGTCAATTTAATAAAAATAATGGCTCTTTGAAGGGAAATTCATCTCACAATACAATTGAAATTATGAAAATGAGACCAGAAAGATATATAACAATATGAGTGAAACTCATTCAAATAAAGAGGACTGGCCAAAGGAAACTGGAGACAGAAAGAGGAAAGGATATTTGGAAACAAAAGTATATATATAAAAAAAGAGGGAGCAATGTACCCAGTTGCTAGGGCAGTAAAGAGCAGTTTCCTATG